TATTTAAAATATTAGACACAAAACAATTTTATGCAGAATCCAAATTGTACATAATTCACATTTATACTTCTAAACAAGTAGCTCATATTTGTATTACTTTTACAGTTTACAAAGTGCTTTTTATATACATTTTCTCATTTGCTATTCAAGACAAACGTATGTGATATTATTTTACAGATGGAAATAAACCCAGACATTATTCAGCACTTTAACCATTATATAGTGTAGCCCTGAGACTTTAGATCTGCAAAAGGGTTTAATAATGGAAACACCACATACATTTCAATTTTTATCACCATTTTCAAGTTTCCTATTTTCTTAACAAAAGAAAACTATGAAAAAAGTTTTTCCCCATAAAATAATGGAAAATATTATAGTCAGTCTATATGAACCCAATGAGTAAGGTTCACCAGAAGCAAAATCTATTTGGGGGGTTATATATTGTTACCTATATACAGGGTAGCAGCACCAGAACCACATTAGACCAATACTTCTTTTTCTATTTTAGAGAAAATAATGCAGGGCACTCCTGCTGCCTTGAAGACTAATGTTCATATATTAATATATGTGTTAAACTGTGTAGGTGGCCAGGAAAGATACAGAAAAATACTTCATCCAAATTTGGAGTTATAGGGCCTGATTATCCCAGTGTAAACCTTATAGGGACTTGACAATTTGTTCGTATCTCTTATCTTTAGTCACAATTTATTTCTCTTTCCCCGTTTCCCTTTCTCCGGAAGCACCTTATACCATTTAGACTGGAAATTCCAATAGGTAGCCTTTCTTTCTGAATTATCTTCACTACTGTATAATTTTTATTTTCAGAATTTTCCTTTCCTTATTTCTAAATCTCAAAGACATTTCTTTATAGTAGACGGAGGAGCTATAGCTTATATTCACTGCCAGAAAAGGGTCAGTTCCAGTGTTAATTTCCCAGCAAACAGCTGGGAGAAAAGTTGAACAGAAAGGAAAAGAATAGTGATATCTGGCAGAGCAGTGACACCTGCACCCAGAAAGTTGCACTACAGTTCAATACTTGTGGCTCTCCTTTGTTATTGCTCTGCTGACTTAAAGAGGAAAATTCTGGCTGGTTGCAAATTCAAAGCATATCAGTATGTTTAAATCATTGGTTCAACAAATCACTCTTTTTAATGTTATAATGTTTTTATTGCATTTGGGGACATGTTTAATAAGTATCTTGAGCTTGAGGCCTTGGCTAGGTATTCCTTTCGCACTAGAAATCAGATTTCTCTGGCACAACTCCATTGCCCGCAATGGTATTTATCAAAACTACAAATGCCAGCACATTGAATATTTCAATACTGTACTCAGTTGTTCATACCTAAATATCTCCATTAGCTATGAAACAAACCAAAGGTAAATGCTGAATACATAGTACAATCAACAGATTCTTCACAGAAGAAAGCAATAAAAGACTAATTTACTACAACATGTCACCTGTTCATTAGTTCTTTGATAATATTACTCAGCCTATTTCAAGGATAATACAATTTATGCACCACTACCCATGTTTTCTCAACATTTTTTATCTAGGTTCTAAAGGGCTTAAACAAGGATGCATATAGTCAGAACTGTTTTTATAAACTTTTGATGTTTCTTTCTTTTGCTGTGCACCTTACCATAAGGAATACATGGAGACGAGAACAAATATACAATTAAGTCATTAATGGTTATATGAATTTTGCTTATATGGCTAGTTGCTTATATGGATGTTGTAAATGACAAGATAAAATAACAAAGTCTGATAAACTCTTCCAGAGGACAGATATACAATTAAGTCATTAGTGGTCATATGAATTTTACTTATATGGCTAGTTGCTTATATGGATGTTGTAAATGACAATATAAAATAACAAAATTTGGTAACCTTTTCCATGTCCTGTGAACTTTAGTCCACTTACTGCATAACTTGATTCAGTCACTATTATTTAGTTTTAAAAAATGGTTTTTAAAAGCTGCAAACCACACTTTATTACATATTTCTGAATCATGAGAGGGTAAACTGTGACACAGTTCCCTTGTGCCACTGAATCTTTTGGGGAGAAAAGTTCTGCAATAAAAGAAGAGTTTCCAAACTCTTTTTCAAAAAAGATTAAATACTGTTCTATGATTAACCATCATTCTACAGTCCCTTTTACCCAAGGCATGGTCCCTGATGCATCTTTTTGAGGTTTAGTTTCTGGGAATTTTTCAGCAAACCTCTCTCGTGCTTTGTCCCAGTTTTTTTTGCTCTTGCTTTGGAGAAGATGAACATCTTCAATTGAGGATGGTTTGCCTATCCCCAAGCCTGCATGCGTTCGCCGAAGCTGAAGCTGGATCTGTCACAAAAAGTTAAGTAGTAGACTTATTTTAGAGTCTAAATACATTGAAATCTGCTGTGTCCAACTTGGTACTCTAATTTTTTGATTTATTAAACATTGATGCAAAAGAAAAACCTGTTAAATGCATCAAATACATAGAGAAATATACACACTATCAAAAATGAAACTTAAACTCATTTTTCTACATTGTCTTTCTTGTTAATAACAGGCAACTCTACAGAAAATAGGGTGCTCCTTAAACAGCAATCACCAAATTTCATTTACGTGTTGAACAGAACTAGAAATAAAGGCAATGGACATATTTAAACCTACTGTCCTATCCTCACTTAAGTGAACAAGTAGGCTAAACATTAAGAGTTTTAATGAGAATTTGATTATTTTCCTAACAGAAGGGGAGGCCTTCCCAATATTTTAGGAACATTAAAACCTACCAGTTACTGAATGCTTAATGTAAGGTACCATGCTGAGGGGCTTTATCTTCAAGACATCCCTGAAAAACTGTTCTTATAATTCCCATTTTTACATAAGAAAACTGAAGTCCAAACCTGCCCAAAGCCACACAGCTAGCAGATGGTAAAAGCACATATTCTAGCCCAGGTTGGACTACAAAACTTTTGTTCTTTTCATTGTACCTCAATGAAAATGAGAAAACTATTATATACTCACACTCATCAATCTATTATTTCTTTAGGTACCAAGCAGTTATCATGAAAGTTCTGTAGTCAGGTTACTTTTTAAGGTTTTTGTGAAAGATAACCCAAACCTCCTATGAACTATGAGACTACAGAATTAAAACACTATTTTGTTTTCCAGACATTACTCCCTATATGCATGTTCATGCTCTAATTCTTTTTTTTTTTTTTGAGACAGAGTCTCAACTGTGTTGCCCGGGATAGAGTGCCGTGGTGTCATCCTAGCTCACAGCAACCTCAAACTCCTGGGCTCAAGCGATCGTCCTGCCTCAGCCTCCCAAGTAGCTGGGACTACAGGCATGTGCCACCATGCCCGGCTAATTTTTTTTCTGTATATTTTTAGTTGTCCAATTAATTTCTTTCTAATTTTAGTAGAGATGGGGTCTCGCTCTTGCTCAGGCTGGTTTCGAACTCCTGAGCTCAAACAATCCGCCCGCCTCGGCCTCCAGAGAGCTAGGATTACAGGCATGAGCCACCGCGCCCGGCCCATGCTCTAATTCTTGAACCTAATAGATTCTCCAGCTAATGCAGAATCTGCCTGTTTGTAAAATAACACTGTGATTGTTCCTACAATGTTCAGTACCAGGTACAGTAAAGAAGTCATTAAAAACAACTAAAAGGCCAGGCCCAGTGGCTCATGCCTGTAATCCTAGCACTTTGGGAGGCTGAGGGAGGAGGACTGTTTGAGGCCAGGAGTTTGAGACCAGCCTGAGCAAGAGCAAGATCCAGTCTCTGCAAAAAAACAGAAAAATTAGCTAGGTGTGGTGGCTGAGGCAGGAGGATGGCTTGAGTCCCGGAATTTGAGGTTGCAGTGAGCTATGATGATACCACTGCACTCCAGCCCAGGCAACAGAGAGATAGACCCTATCTCGGGGGGGAAAAAAAAAAGGAAAAACAAAAACAAAAAAAACCCAACTAAAAGACAGAACTTTTGGCTCAGGAAATATCACTTACTATCCCAGTTTTGATGTAGGAAAAGACTCTAAACAAGGCTTTCTAAAAACATAAAATATAAAATAAAACGCGCGTATGTATTTGGTAATTGCGAATGCCACGAAGGCAGTAATCGTGTCTGTTTTGCTTGCTGCTATATTCCTAACACTTAAGGCAATGCCTGGCACATTATGTTACACTATAAATGTTTTCTGTAAGAATGAATGAATGAAAGAAAATGCAAGTCTTACCGGAGTTTTCATTCCTCCACCATCCTTTCCCAGTCCCTCTCCTTTTTTCCAACCCATCTTCTCCAACATCTTCCGACCTTTGTTGCTATCAGTAATTTCACTTTGAGGAAAATTAAGAGGATAGCTAATTTATAAAAGATGTTTTAGGCCACATTTATAATAAATTCATGAATTAAAAATTGGTATAACTACTTTAGAAAACTGGCATTACCTAATAAAGTTGAAGGCACACAAATTCTACTCCTACACATATACCTAACAGAACAGCATGTACATATGTATCAAAAGACATAAGAAAGAATGTTCTTCTGGCAAATGTAATAGAAACAAATCAGAAACAATCCAGATGTCCATCAATGGTTAAAATGGATAAACTGTAGTATAATCATACAATAGAATATTACACAGCAATAAAAATAAACTATACCTAACAAAATGTGAGGTAAAAAGAATACAGACACAAAATAAACACTGAATTGTTTCATTTATTTACAATTTTAAAATAAGTAAAATTAATCTACTGCTGTCAGGCTGGTGGTCACCTCTGGGGAGGACACCGGGACAGTGATTAGGAAGGGCCACAAGGAGGGTAGGCTTCTGGGGTTACTGAAATCTTCTATTTCTTGTCTAATAAATGTATATTCTGCAATGCACTAATCTTATGTTGTATCATTAAGGTATATACTTGTTTTTTAGTTTTAATTTTCAGCCTATATGGTGCTTTGATAGCTACTTATGATTTATATATTTTCTGTACATATGCTATACATTAATTAAAAGGGTAAAGTGAAATAAAACCTCTCCCTCACTAACTGCATTTTGTCCTATGATTTTGTATTCTGCTAATTTAAGGATGTTTTAATTTTATGTTCTATCAGATTATCTTTTCAGTTCTACAGAATGTGCTAAATTAGCTCTTTAATAACAACAAACCAAACATTGTCAAACCAATGTGTTTCATTTCTTATTTCTACCTTATTTAACTCTAATGTGTGTTGCTTAGTGTATCTAACTTGTAATATTATATTGCATCAAATTTAGTATTGATGATGGATCTGACTCCAGCAATTGTAAAATGCACTGTAATTTTATGTACCATTAAGAAAACACTGCCACCATTTATAATTATAAAACTCTATAAGTAATATATCTTAGAACCAATGAAATAGGATATTTAATCAAAATTTTATAATTAGTTACCAGTTCTACATGAAAGATTTAAATTTTAACTAAACCCAAAATTTATATTGAAAAAGAAAAAAAATTTAGCTAGTATACGATTAAATGCAGAAATATTATATTGTAGGCCTCAAAATCACATTTTTCATCTATATTAAAGCTTCTTTACCAAGAGAATATAACTGAGTCAAAAAAAATAAATAAATAAGAAAAACAGTATTTCAGGGTCAACAAGAACAATACGTATATTAGAGTATTAAAATAATTATAAAAAATACCAGTTCATACCAATCTCTTACTAGTCCAGGCTTTTAGATATCTAGTATATAAAAGTATACTCACTCCATTGGGTGGTTAGAATGTTAGCTATGCATATATGAATGTTTAAGTATATGTGCTCATGTACATTCTCAGCAATTTGCTTGAGAAACATGGAATTCTAATATTAGAAGAAAGTGTAAGTAGACTTAGTGTTTCCATCCTGTTCTGAAACCATTCCTTTAAAGGTTACTTATTAGAATATATAACCCTGTAAGTCAGACCACCCTATGAATGTGATTATGGAACAAAGCAAGTTTCAAGCAATTATAATTCAATACTTACGAATGAACAGACGCAGGAGCATCATCTCTTTGGAAAGTTCCTTCACTTCCAATCTGCTCCCTACGTTTTCCAGCTCTATCTTTATATTTTGGATTCTTCAACGCCTTTTCATCTTCATAGTCTATATTCTTAACAAACACAAAATACTCATTGAAGAAAAGAAAGTTGATAAATAAAAATGCACCGTCTGTACATTTGCCTTACTTAACAAATGTGGTTCAATGTGGCTTTTATAAACAATGAAATAAAGCTATGATAGAAAGACAATTGTGATATTAGATATGCTATTTATATTCTATCCCCTTTAAAATTTTTGTATTATTTCAAGTTCTACCACAACATAAATATAGATGGTAAAAAGATAATATGGTGAAAATATAGTATATTTTGACTTAATGCTGTGTTCATATGACATTGTCATATGAACTACCAGAATTCAAAGAAAAATATAGAACCCTTTAAGTTAGGAAAAAAAATCATTTCCCCCTTTCTCTAAGGAACTGAAAGTTCCAAAGGACCTAAAGTAGTTTGGATACTGTTTCTTGGAAGGGAAAAATACAAAAAGACATTTAAAAATGAGAAAAAGGAAAATACCCTTTTACCCTGGCAATAATAGCTTTTTGCTTCCATACCACTCCATTTATAGGACTCATCAGTCAGTCGATCAACACTCACTGAGTAAAGAGTATGTCAAGTTCCATGCTAGGGGATGGAATGCAAAGAAATTTATAATCCCAGAAGGAAGACACACATAATCTTTAGCTGCTACAGTATGACTGGTTCAACAATAAAGGTATCCACAACGTGTGACAGTGGCACAAAGAAGAGGCAGTCAGTTCAGCTTGGGGCTCCAGAGAAGGCTTCACTTCCCTTTTGTTATTACTTGTTGATCTTTATATAAAAAGAATGACATTCATCCAGATACGTGCTAGGGACTGAAGGGCAACTCAAGGAAAGTACTACAGAAGTTTTTACTTAATTTTGCTTTTAAACAGAGAAGAAAAATATAAAATTAACTACCCTGGTGAATTCTTCCCTCAGAAAATGATAAAATTGAGTTGAAATTTGAGAAAATTTTCATCTCTCTTTAAATGTTTTCTATTTTCCTCCCAAATTGACCTACCTTGACATTTTTTCTGTTGTGATTTCTCTTAGTAAAACACGAACAGCAAAAAATATGATTTTGCAGAAAAATATGTTATTTTTTGGCAGCAACTTCTTTTTCCACATCTTTATGAAGTATAGAAAGCACTGGACAAATATACTTAAGACCTAAATTCTATATCTAGCTTTATTATTTAGTAGCTGAGGATACTGAGCTTTAGTTTCTCTGGAAATATTAATATTCACTGGAAATATTAATTACCTTCCTGGTCTACTTATAAGATTAAATGGTAACTTTTTAAAAACTGCTTTACTGAGGCATAATTAACATACAACAAATTATGCATATATAAGAGTGTATAAGATACTTTCGAGATTTCTATACCTATGAAACTACTACCACTAGCAAGATAATAAACATACCCATCTCACCCAAAAGCGTCCCTGTCCCTCTTTGTAATCTAGCCCTCCAGAGCTTCCTTATATATCATTCCTCCCCCATGTCCAAGTAACCACTGATCATCTTTCTGTCACAATATGTTAGTTTGCTTTCCTATAAGTTTATATAAATGGTGCAAGACAGTTCTCCCCTTTCTTACTTGTAGTTCTCAAAAATAACTGTGGCATATGCTGGAATGCAATATCCAGAGATAAGGAGGGACTAGCTGGAACAGCCAGGGCTCTGTTCTAGTCCCCACCTAGAAACGGGATGTCCGTCAACATTTTAGCCCAGTGAGTTACGTGGCCCCAGGGTATGTAACCCAAGGTAGGCTGTTTTCCAGGGTCCCTCATTTGCTGTGCCAGTGGGGCACACAGTCAAGATTCCATCTGCCCAGAAGGCAGCTTGACTGGTTCACAATGAATCCTAGGGCTTCTGTTGTCCATTGCTGCCTATTTATAAGTAATAAATCTGCTTCATGTTGCATATGAATGTGTTCTATCTCACAGAACTCAGACAAGTTGAAAACTAGTGCACAGTGAACTTGCTCCACAAGTGAAAGCATAGTGTATATACTCATTTTGTCTGGCTTCTTTCACTCAACATAATTATTTTGAGATTCATCCAGGTTGTAGCTTACATCAAAGTTCCTGCTTTTTAATTGCTAAATAGTATTTCACCATATAGATATATTATTGTTTGCTTATTCATATATGATGGACATTTGAGTTCTTCCCTGTTTTTGGCTATTGCAAAAAAAATAACTATGAACATTTGCTTACTAGTCTTTGTATGAACATGTTGGTATTTCTCCTGGGTAAAATCTTGGAATGGAATGGCTGAATCATGATAGGTGTACGTTTAACTTTTTAAGATACTACCAAACTGTTTTCCAAAGCAACTGTACCATTTTACATTCCCACCAGCAATGTGAGTTCCAGTTCCTCTGCATCCCTTCTAACACTTGTTATAGTCAGTTTTTAAAATTGTAGCCATTCTAATAGTAGTAGTATCTCACTATGGTATCTAAATGTGGTTTTAATTTGCATTTCTCTAAAGATTGGTGATAGTAAACAAGTTTTCATGTGTTTATTTGTCATCTGTATATATTCTGTGGTGGAATGTCTATTTAAATCTTTTGCCCAGTTTTTAATTGAGTTGCTTTCTTATTACTGAGTTTTGAGGGTTTTTATGTATTCTGGATATGTCTTTTATCAGATATATGATTTGCAAATATTTTTCCCAGTCTGAGGCTTATCTTTTCATTCTCTTAAAAGTGGCTTTGGAATAGCAAAAGTTTTCAATTTTGTGGAAGTGCAAATTATCAATTTGTTCTTAGGAACTGTGCTTTTGGTGTTAAGATATCTTAGAAATCTTTGCCTTTTTAAAAAAAAAAGTTTCCTAGGAGTTTTAAAGTTTTAGGTTTTATATTTATATCTATGATCCATTTTCAATTCATTTTTGTATATAACAGGAGGCATGGATCAATGCTCTTTTGTTGTTATTTTGCATATGGACATCCAATTATTCAAGAACCATTTGCCAGAAAAGATCACCTTTTCTCCATCAAATTGCCTTCACATCTTTGTCAAAAACCAGTTGTCCATATATGTGTATATATGGCTATATTTCTGGACTCATTATTTTGTTCCATTCATTTGTTTATCTTTATGCCAATATGATACAGTCTTAATCACTGCAGTTTATAATAGGTCTTGAAATCAGAAGTATTAGTCCTCTAACTATGTTCTTTAATGGCATCTTTTTTTTCCAGAGATACGATCCTGTTATATTGCCCAGGCTAGAATGCAGTGGCTATTCATAGGCACAACCACAGCTCACTGCAGCCTCAATCCTGGCCTCAAGCAATCCTCCCACCTCAGCCTTTCAAATAGCTAGGACTATAAGCAAGTACCACTGTACCCAGCTACTTGAATGGTATCTTTTTTTTTTTTTTTTGAGACAGAGTCTCACTCTGTTGCCCGGAGTAGAGTGCTGTGGGGTCAGCCTAGCTCACAGCAACCTCAAACTCCTGGGCTCGAGCAATCCTACTGCCTCAGTCTCCCGAGTAGCTGGGACTACAGATATGCGCCACCATGCCCGGCTAATTTTTTTTCTATATAGATTTTTAGTTGTCCAAATAATTTCTTTCTATTTTTAGTAGAGACGGGGGTCTCGCTCTTGCTCAGGCTGGTCTCGAACTCCTGACCTTGAGCGATCCACCCGCCTCGGCCTCCCAGAGTGCTAGGATTACAGGCGTGAGCTACCGTGCCTGGCCTTGAATGGTATCTTAATGCAAGTTTTTTGAAAACCAAAAATTGTTATTCAAATGTTTGCTATTATTATCCACTTTTTTACTGCAACCTCAACAGTTGCTTAGGTTATGAATATCAGAATAAACAATAGAAATTACACAAATTTCAAAATCATACTAAGTAACTTTATTTATATATAAAATATACTCAGCATATCTAAGGCATTTTTTACTCAAACCCAGATATACAGCTTAATACTTGAAACAGTATTTAACATCCTTACCTGTAAACCATATTTTACTCGTATTTTTTTTAATTCTTTTCTTCTTTCCAACTCTTTTTCCTCCTTAGTTAATGTTGGACCAACTAAAAGGAAAAAGGTTTGGTTAAAAAAAAATCCATTAGATCTGATTTGTAGAAAATACTAATGATATTTAATTAATAAAATACTAACAGTAACCCATTCAGATTAACCAGAAGTTGAAATAAACATTAATATAAAGCAGGGGTCCCCAACCTTTTTGGCACCAGGGACTGGTTTCATGGACGACAATTTTTCCACAGATGGGAGCGGCAAGGAGGGATGGATATGGTTTCAAACAAATTCTCACAAGGAGCGCGCAACCTAGATCCCTCGCATGCATAGTTTACAGTATGGTTCATGCTCCTATGAGAATCTAATGCCACCACTGATCTGACAGATGGTGGAGCTCAGGCAGTGAGGCAAACAATGGGGAGCAGCTGTAAATCCAGATGAAGCTTCACTGGCTTGCTCACTCGTCTCCTGCTGTGCAGCCTGGTTCCTAATAGGCCATGGACCAGTACTAGCCTATGGCCCAGGGGTTTCAGATCTCAGATGTAAGTGTCCTGGGTTGTGATGATGTTCTTTCAACATTTTGGTAACTAAACCTACTTAGAAAGTAATATAGAAAGATTACAGTATAGATACCAAAATGAACAATGAACACCTCAATTTTTCATTATGATTATTATAATGGAATCTCAAATGCAGAAATATTTAGTAAATTTTCCAAAGGAACACAGGCATGTGCAAAATAAAAATTGCAGAATCCAAAATTCGTGTTACTGTATAATGTGACATATTCATTTTTAAATTAGTATCAGAAAATAAAAAGTAAACAATGAACATGCACACTGGGCATCTAAAGGGAAAAATTAATGTGAAAAAAAGATTACCTCTTACTGGTTCAAAGTATCTATTTAAGTTTTAGGAGCTTTAGATGGGTGGGTTTAAAGCACAACAGCAATATCCTACAGTGCTATTATAAAAAATAATGGTACATACAGACAATATACCGACACGAACAATCAAAAGGACAGAAAACATCAACCAATAACCCTTAATGTCTTGGCCTATGATTTTCTATGTTAATATTATATGATAGGGTTTAACTGTGGATGACTGTTTTCATACCAGTGAACAGAAGTTAAAAGGAAATCAATATTATGTCACAATTACTTTTAAAATTATTTTAATTGACCAAAATTGCATATATGTAAAATATAAATTATATATGTAAACTGTATATATGTTAAAAATGTATATATGGTATATAACATGATGTTTTGATATATGTATACATTGTGAACTGGATAAATCAAACTAATGAACATATCCATTATCTCACATATTTGTCATTTTTTTGTGTGGTGAGAACACTTATAATCTACTCTCTCGGCAACTTTCAAGTATAATTATTGTTGAAGGACATTTAGCTACCACTGCAGTCTGCTTCAAAAGCCTACTACACAGAGCTAATCAGTCTCTTTCCTGGTCAGAAAGCAACCTAATGCCACAACATCACCTAGCTAAATTACTGCATAGAAAAATCAACTACGATCATAATTTGTAAGACTAGGTCTCAAATTTCAAACATAAGTTATTTCTTAAAACTCATATGATAATATTTACTGAAATATATCTCCATCCATTATTATATCAATTATATCTAGGCTGATGGCTTTGTATAAATGTATCTCAATATGGTATCACATCAATTAGAAAAGAAGCCAGTAGCTGACTGATACTATTTTTTAGAACATGCAGAGAATTAAAGAGAAAAGTTATCATACCAATATGTAACATATACTTCACATACCAAAAGATTCATCTTTCTTATCCAGGCGAAGGTGAGCTCTAACCTGCCCTGGTTCACAGCCATCACAGGTATCACTGCCAGGGTGAATGTGAAAGGATAACACGGTTTCTCCAATTTTCACTTCATCTCCATGCTCAAGTACATAAGGATCACATTTAGTTTTTGGCTAGAGAGGAAATATTTTACAAAACAGAAATCCAAAATAGTTGGTTATTTTATGTCTACTGTAAGTAGACTGTCTGATTATAATTTCTAAAAACTATTTGACATGGTTCTCAATGAGATAGAAACACACATGTACACACATGCACCCATTTCCTCAACCCCAGAGATGACCCATAAAAAAGTTCTACTAATGGAGAAGAAAGCTGAACCAAGCAACTTATAAGACTAAGAATAAGGCCTCCCTCCTTACCTCCTCTTTTCCCTCTCTCCCCTCTTCCCATGTATTTTCTTATTATATGCCAAGCACTTTGCTATGTGCTGGGGATATAAGCATTAACTGGACGGACATAGCCCCTGCTTTTCAAGGAGTTTCCAGTTTAGCAACAATTCCATTACGACGATTTTTTAAAAAAGGAGGAGGATCTCTAAAGTTGATATAAGAATATTTACTCTGAGTGGCTTTACAATGCATTCATATCTAAAAATAAGGCATAGATATATAACTAGAAGTCAAAACTCAACAACCAAGTATCGTGATTATATACTTTTTTAGATGTTTCTGGGAATTCCTTTCCAAATAACACATTTGGGCTTGACTCTAATCTGAAATAATATCTATAATGACTATGGCATTCAGGAATAAAAAATTTCATTTCAGTTTTAAAAATAATGTGCAGGTAATTAATACATACATACTCACCTGAAGAATCTGTTTTCCATTAACAATTGTGCCATTTTGACTGCCTTGATCCACAAGGACATAACTTTGTAAATCATGGTCAAAATAAATTTCTGCATGAAACTTAGAAAACAAAAATCAAGCAATTATAAAGTACTATACTTTTTTTAAAACTATGGATAATAATTTCACTATGATATGATGTAAACTTTACTCTCTGATAATTTAACTTTTAATATTTTTAATACTTTTTCTGAATACAAATTATTATATGCTTCTGGTAGCAAAATGAATGCTATAGAAGAAAAAATTATCTATAATTCTACATTTAATTACCATTAATAATTTAGTATATGTCCTACCTCTTCTACTTTTTTAATATAAAGATTATACTACATATACACAATTCGAAAATTTTCACCCAATATCAGTATTTGTCCATAACATTAAAAATTCTTAATACAGAACATGATTTGAAACACTCAAGGTCAAATTCTCAGAGAAATTTTCCAGATCTTCAACACTTAGGACTAATCATTCCCTCCTTATTCCAAAGCACTTTGTTCATATATTCCTCTTATTCTGCTTCTTTGGCTTAACATTAAGTCATGAGATTCACCCAGTTGTTGTGTACAGCTGTAGTTCATTCATTTTGCTGAATGGTAATCCACTGTGTGGATATACCATAATCTATCTATTCTTCTGATAATGGACATCCGAGTTTGTTCCAAGATTTTACTATTTGAAAAGATGTTGCTATGAACTTTCTTGTACATGCAATCTTTTTATGTACAAAATGCAAGTGTTGCTTGGGGTATACACTTAGGAATGGAATCATTAAATCACAGTATATGAAAATCTTAAATTTTACTAGATACTGACATATTGTTTTTCGAAGTGGTTATACCAGCAATCTATGAGAATTCTTGTTGCTCTGTACATCCTTAACCAAATTTGATATTGTCAAAACTTTTAATTTTTGCTAGCCTAAGAGGTGTGAAATAAAGTCTTATGGTTGTGATTTTAATTCGCATTTCCCTGATTACTACTGAAAACTTTTCTTATATTTATTAGCCATTTGGGTTTCCATCTTTTGTAAATTTTGTTTACGTCCTTCGTATATTTTTTCCAGCTGAATTTAGAACAATAAATGGATTAAAACAGTTTCAAATCTTTTTATATTGCCAAATTCTATTCAAAAAAGCTGTTCTAAATTATGCTTCCAATAGAAGTTATATTTATGAAATATGATGAATAAAAACTGACACTTTGGCTTCATTTGTATTTCTCAGATTACTAGAAAGACTGAATGTTTTTCATATATTAACCATATTTCCTTCACTGTGAATATTCTATTTATGTCCTTTGCTCACTTACCTATTGATGTCATAGTGGGGTTTGAAATACTAAATTTGCAAGAGCTTTTAAAATACAGAGGATATATATTTTGTCCTATTTGTTGTAACTGTCCTAGTCTGCCTTTTATTATTTAACATATAAAGTGCATCAAACTTAGTCAAAATTATTTTGTCCTTTGTGATTTTTACCATTTTTTTAAACTCAGAAAGTCTTCTACCCAGTGGTTAAATATTTGTTTTTCCTCCCAATATCAGTATGAGGTTATTTTTAAAACATTTTTTTCATCTCTTTGGATATGTGTTATATATGCTGTCAAACATAATGACAACAATATGTTTGACAGAGCAAATTTCACCAACAAATTATCTACTCCACTAGTGGATGTTAGTTTAAAAGAAAGAAAAAAACCAAAAATGCCAGAGAACCACCTATATTTTAGATTGGAGGTGGGGAAGGACTTATTTGTTATTTAAGTTACAAGACTGGGTTTTCTTTGAAGGCAGGAGAATCAGGGCTCACAGTAAAAGTAAAAAAGCAAGATAATTTGGTTAGAGTTATGATAAGGATTTTCCCCCCTCTGAATCAGTCCCAAAAAATGAAAGTAACTAGACTTTCAAACTAATAATGGGAAACATATTTCATCCCCAAAATAACCAAAAATCACTTAAAATCGACTTTAGTTCCACATTATAGTCCATTAAATATAAACAAAATAGGAATTATTAAAGGCCAAAAAAAAAAAAAAAGGAAACAAGAGAAGAGAGGAAGAAAAACATAGCAAACATACTAAAGAAAAAGATAAATATTTAGTATAAAGAGTCTCAGTAGCTAAACCTTTTGTTTTTTGTTTTTTCTTTTAACTTAGTAATTAAGTTCCGATTCTATTTCTACTGTTTGTTTTGAAAAATCATTTGGTTTTTTTCCTGAAACCATTAGAGGCTCAATTGGGAAAAGCTGTAAACAAGATCCTTGGGTGGTAGAAGACAGACTATTCTTGGGTTGTAAAATACTCTGGGCTTAAAGTAAGCACCTACTAAAGAAGCTTGAGCCCAGGTATGATTCATTTTTGAATGCCATAAAATGTAGCATATTTATTTCACTAGATAAATATTTGTTAAATAGGTACTACTTTAATACTAAGATTAATATATGTTTTCTACTCCTGCTCCAGGCTGTTAAAAAAATAAACATCATTTAGTTTATTCAAAGTATGACAAAGAATTTTTATTTTCTCCAACACAGGAATAAACAAATCTGCACTGCCTTCATTACCATTACTACACTGAATATTAACCTTCCTATGAAATGGAGAAAAACCATAAGCTTTCTCTTGTAATGATGATTTTACAAATTACACCCAGGAGACTATATTTGAAAAATGAAGAGCTTACCTTACTGACACCAACTTCAGGGATTCGGAGAGTATGCTCCATATCTTTTTCTCTGTAAGGTAAAGTGTCTTTAATAATTTTTGAAGTATATTATATACTTGATCTTAGCCAAAAGCCCAAGAAACGATGAAGCATATTGTATAAATGCAGCACTTACAGAGTGACATGGAAAGAATTTTTAAAAATAGATAATGTTAAAATGCAAGTCTATCACAATAAGTCTCCTGTTTATAGAGTACCCAGTTTCCTTACTGCTACTCTAGATTTCCTGTGCTTTCACACAATAATTGTTTACATCTCTTTTTTTTCCTTCATACTGCGCTTTCTTTGGGTAGAGATCTTGCCTTAGACCTCTTTGTATCCAGAGCACATAGAACAATGCTTGATATACAATACATACTCAATAAAGCCTTTTTGAAATAACTGAAAGAATGATAGAATAATATTAACCATTTTTACCTTCCAATTGTAGCAGGGTTTACAGCAGTAATGATAAAAAGTGATCCTGTCTCCAATACTGGTGATCTAATAACAATTACTCTAATACATGGGGGCCAAATTTTTTCTTCATCTGCCAAGGAAAAAAGTGGGTAAACATTAATTTAAATGCTACGAAAAAAAATTTCATAGGGCTACCTAGGAGATACCCATAAAATAAAAATATACTGGTTAAAAATCTTAGTTCTGACTAAAACAAGCTTCTTAAATTCTGCTATATATCATATATATAATAATGAGTAAGGCTTAACATTGTTATTAATTTAAAGTGACCAACATAAAGGTATGTAGCATATTTAGCATCTATCACAGTTATAAAATAATCAACTCTCTCCTTTTTAAGTTCTTGGAATTTGAAAACATCCCAAACAAATTTTCAAATTATTTTAAGTTAGAAAAATCGGGTCCACTTTTTTTAAAAAAAGAGAAATTCCACTGAGAACAAAAGAAAATAAGTTTACAGACTATACAGTTGTTCCTCGGTGTTTGTGAGGAATTGATTCCAGGACCCACCCACAGATACTAAAATCCACAGATGCTCAAGTGCCTTATATAAAAACGGGGCATATTTGCATATAACCTATGCACATCCTCCCATATACCTTAAATCATCTCTACATTACTTACAATACCTAATACAATGTAAATGCTATGTAAATAGTTGTATTATTAAGAGAATAACAAGAAAAAAAGTCTGTACATGTTCAGTACAATTATCCATTTTTTTTCCTGAATATTTCCCATTTGAGGTTGATTGAATCCATGGATGTGGAACCCACAGATAAAGAAGGCCAACTGTAATATAAAATCCTGTGTTTTAAAAATGTGTCTTTATATCTTCAAAAAAAAAAAATTTAGATTTACAATACCTATGTAACTGAATTTATGAACTACACTTTTTAAAGGCAACTTGCTTTTTTCCAGTTACGAAAATAGACTACAAATATCCAGCCCACTAAAACAGACTTAATGTATACTTTAGGATTAGAATGTAGGTAGCTTGGCTTTATGTTCTACTGATCCAGGGATGGGGAACCTTTGGCCTTGGGGCCATATATGGCCTTCTGAATCCTTGAGTGTAGCCTTCTGACTGAATCCAAATTTTATAGAACAAATCCTTTTACTAAAGGGATTTTTCTGTGAAGTCTGGATTCCATCAAAGGGCTACGCTTGGGGATCTGGAGGGCCACATGTAGCCTTGAAGCCACAATGAAACTTTCTGAAGGTCCAAGTATTAATATTAGTCATTTATTCACAGTCTACTCTCTAAAAATACCCAAGGAGTAGCCGACAAAATTTTCAATAACGTCATTAAAATAATCCATTTACTTTTTGGTAGATATACTGTATGAGTCACTAACAATTTCAATTGTTTTGCTCTTTTATAATTACCAGACTTAAGTTAAAACAATGATTATTTACTCACCTTCATCCTCAGTATCTTCAGCAGTCACATGGTCTTCACTGGTAATGTCTTCGTCGTAACTATCTTCGGTCTGAGAGTCTGTAATTTCACCTTCTTCTGGCTCACTATCAGTCTCTGTGATTTCTTCATCTTTAAGTGAAGCTGAATTAGAGATGCTTTCATTAAGAGGAGATTCTGCAGTGTTTCCACTAACTGGAATAGTGAATTCTGCAGGACTATTTTTGTAATGACTGTCTATTTTGGCCTTCTTTTTCACCTTTGGAAAAATTTCTCCCTCATTGCAGCTTATATGTTCAACACTGGAGACTTTTTGATCTTCTGAATTCAAATCCTGGAGAAGGGTGGGTAATACAGGTGGGAACAGGGTAGAATCATCTTAAACACAGTATAACATCACATCGAGTTTCAATGAGTTAGTAAAGATATATGTACAGTAAAAGAACAATAGTTATAATCTGTATCCCCTCTTCTTATGTTCCTTTTATTGGTTAATGATATTATCATCCTCTTATCATCCAAATTAAAAATCTTATAGTTATCTTTGACACCCCTTAGCCACTATATGAAATTAATTACTAAGTGCTAGAGAATTCATCTATAATTTATCCCAAATCTGTCACTCTATCTTTTCTCAATGTTCTAACATTCCCAGTCCAGGCCCTCATCAAGTATTGCCTGAAACATGTGATAACCTAGACCAATGTTGTCTGACAAAAATGTAATGTAAGCCATATTTATGCTCTTGAATTTTCTAGTCGCCACATTTAAAAAATAAAATTATTAATGAGTGGATTATATCCATTTTTGTACTAAGTCTTCAAAATCCAGAGTATATTTACACGTATAGCACATCTCAATTTGGACTAGCTACACTTCAAATGCTCATTAGTCACACATATAGCCAGTGGCTAGCTTACTGCATAATGCAGGCCTAGAGTATACATCTACTCTAAATTTTTCTTTTAAACTTTTAACCAATTATCAAGTCAACACATAAAATAAGAATTGATTTCACTTACAACATGAATTTAAAGACCGAAATGTATCCAATGTACCAAAATTGTACTTTTGCTAAAATTTAGTACTTTATTGACTTGATAATACATAAAAGTATAAAGTACAAATTAGTTGTATCTCTTTTATCCCCCAATTTCAACATACACAGCATAAGCTTTTTATTATAAATTTGTTGTACATATATAGCCAGCATGCCCTGTGGTAAATGAACAAATCTACTTTTCAATACAAATAAAAATTATATATTTTTATCATGTACAATGAGGTTTTTTGTTTTTTTTTTTTGAGACAGAGTCTCACTCTTTTGCCCGGGCTAGAGTGCCGTGGCGTCATCCTAGCTCACAGCAACCTCAAACTCCTGTGCTCAAGTGATCCTCCTGCCTCAGCCTCCCGAGTAGCTGGGACTACAGGCATGCACCACCATGCCTGGCTAATTTTTTCTATATATTTTTAGTTGTCCGATAAATTTCTTTCTATTTTTAGTAGAGATGGGGTCTCGCTCTTGCTCAGGCTGGTTTCGAACTCCTGAGCTCAAACAATCCGCCCACCTCGGCCTCCCAGAGAGCTAGGATTACAGGCGTGAGCCACCGCGCCCGGCCTGCAATGAGGTTTTGAAATATGTATACATTGCGGAATGGCTAAATCAAACTAATAACATGTACAGTACCTCACATACCATTTTTTGTGGTGAGAGCACTTAAAATTTACTCTCAGCAATTTTCAAGAGTACAATACATTGTTATTAACTATAGTCACCACGTTGTACAATAGACAAATCTATTATTTTAGCCTTACAAGAAATAAAGAGTTATTTTCCTCTTTTTCCTTTGGTTTGTAATACACTCTCAATTTTCTTTCTATCACAGAGCAACATGATGAAGTGAATTCATACGTTCTTCTGTTATTTTATAAAATATGAGAGCATCTCATACACATATTTTTAATAGCAACATAAATTTAGTTTGGAGACTGGCTAAACATTCACGGTGTGATAAACTATACACACCTGAAGCAATGCAAACTCACCAAGGACAAGAACAAGGGCAAGGAGCTAGAAAACTATGAGGAGCTTTATAAGCCTCATAAATTACAGCAAAATTTCCCTACCTATATATACTTTTTAAAAAAGCAATTTCCGATCGTGTATATTTTATTATTATTACTACTAATTGCTTATTGACAACATATGCAGGGGGAAAATAAGTGAAACTGCCAGAGGTGCTACTTTTTATAAGCTATTTGTCAATACACCATGCTAGGTATTAAGAGATAAGAAAGGGTGCTTGCACACGGGCATTGAGGCATATATGTACATTTCAAGTTACGTACTCAAATCTCCTCACACTACTGTCTTCCTTCCATATACCCTCTACTTCCAAAAAGTATGGCTCAAGAGTATCTTAAAAAATAAAGAAAATGATGAGGATACTCTAACTAGTCTCTCATAGTTTCACAGTTAACTTTGAGAATCCTCAGGGAATTCTCAAAATTCCATCAGGATTTTTCTTACATTCCTGTCCAGGAGTTCACGTATTTTCAAAGAAAGATGGTAAAGATAAGCAGTTATGGGACATAGGCTGGACTGAAATATCACAGAATGCTTTGTCAGGAAAGGCCATTTGAGGATCCCTAAACACTCTTCTCACTGCCAGGGAGAGGTGCTTTCACAACGTAGCATTTCAAGCAATTCTACCACTACAAATAGGCACAAGCCATTAAAATAGAGGTCTTGAAAGCAAATAGAAAAATAATTTTTTGTAGTTTAGTCATACACTCTTCTATTCCTAGGTACTGTCAGTGAAAAACAGAGTAATACTTGAAACAAATTGAATAGAGAACAGAAAATAAATCCAACAGAATCCTAATTCTACATGTAAACTTTAGAATTTGGTATTATTTTAAGTAATTTTTCTCTGGTTAAGAAGAGAAAAACATGAGATAAAATTTCAAGAGTAAAATATCAAATACTTGCCACAATTCACAAAATACCAATACAACAAATAAGCCTACTTTCCTGACTATAAACCACCAACTTTACCTGTTTAAGGAGTAGCAAGAACACTGGTAACATTTTTTATATCTTCTTTCTTTCAATTTAACATTGTATCACAATGCATATCATAAACATTTTTTAAATTCCCTTTATAAAGTACCATTTGAATGCTTAAGTAATACTTTTTCAAATAAATGTACCACCATTTTCTTAACCAAAATCTTGCAGGCCATTTAAACTTTTAATCCTAATAAACATGTACATCACTCCCTATTTGCCAGCAATGGGTTTTTAAATGTCTGCTAATTTAGTAGGCAAGAAATTGCTCGACACGACTAAGAAAGTTGAACCTGCCTACCTACAAACTGTATTTTTTATTGAGAATTGTGCACTGACATCAACTTATCAATGGGTCTGAATGTTGTTCTTCCAAATTAAACACAAGATATTTTATCTGCCCTAAATCTACCTCCTTCAAATTTTAAGAAACGCCCTCCATTTCCAGTAACTGAAAATTTGTGAAAAAGTCCATGTTTGCTCCATCTGAAATCTCCTTGGGGTTGGATTCTGACATCTTCTCTCAATGGATATGTTTAAAATATAGAGTTACTGAATGATTTTCAGTTTCCTTAAAAATTTTGGTTTGTTATCATTATGTAAATTTTTTAAATTATGAAGATATTACCTTTTCCTCATTTGTTGTAGAAGAATCTGGATCCTTTCTTTTCTTCTTCAATTTTTTATCTTTACTTTGTTTTGTGCTAGAAGTCTGATAAGGTTGCAAATCTACTCGAGAATGAAATTGATATCTACCACTTTCCACATCACAGTAGTAGTAAATTCCAGTGGAAGGATCATAATATAGTTGATTTTCCTTTCAAAGTCAAGAAAACAGTTAAGTTCTACTCATGTAAGATGAAATATAATAAATATGCCAAATGTATTCAAATACAATAAATGTTTCTTTTAATAACAATAGTATTTTCAGAAGACAATAAAGTAAACATAATAAAAAATGTTCGTAATTTTCCAAAATACTTTACCATTCAGTATCTGCTCTAATTTTCCTAGTATTAAAAATGAATAAATCTTGGCTAGGCGCAGTGGCTCATGCCTGTAATCCTAGCACTTTGGGAGGCCAAGGTGGGTGGACTGCTTGAGCTCAGGAGTTCAAGACCAGCCTGAGCAAGAGTGAGACCCCGTCTCTACTAAAAGTAGAAAGAAATCAGCCAAACAACTAAAAATAGAAAAAATTAGCCAGGCATGGTGGCGTGTGCCTGTAGTCCCAACTACCCGGGAGGCTGAGGCAGGAGGGTCGCTTAAGCCCAGGAGTTTGAGGTTGCTGTGAGCTAGGCTGATGCCATGGCACTCTAGCTCAGGCAAAAGAGTGAGACTCTGTCTTGGGGAAAAAAAAAAAAAAGAAACTTTTCTCAGTATGTTTGGAGTATACAGTATGAGGGGTAGTGAATTTTAAGAGATGACAGTGGATAGGTAATCAGGAGCAAGGTGTGATAAGCAGTTTGGTCTTAAACTTGTATGTAATTGGGAGCTACTGAATTATATAGGACAGGAA